GTTGCAAAGGTCGACAACAGGCTACACAATTGGTTGGAAACCCACTCCAACCCGGGCTGGCTTCAAACCCATGACCTTTTGGTCAGAGTGATCTTAATGCAGCTGACACTCAGCCAGCTGCGCCAATATCCCGCACGAAAAGTAGACCTCAACGGCAAAAGCACGCTCCTCACTGTTCCAACGCATGATGGCGATTGAACTGTGTCAGGACAAAAATTTATACTCCCGCCTCTCGAACAAGACCACTTGTGCTCTGCTACATCTTCAACCAACTGAATGGCACGCATTTTAAAAAAGGAAGTTATACTGCCGCACCGTGTATTTTACTTTTCTCAACCCAAAGGGGACTCAGGGAGGAGCACAACTTATCAACGGCAAACATTCAATGCCAGGACATAAATAGACTATACATATACATAAACATTGAAATCGGTTATCTCAACATTAAACTCCACTGATTATACCGTCTCAAATATCCGCATCAAATCTGGTTGGTATGGTAAGTTTTCCTATTGCTGCCTTATTGCACTGCCCCAAAGGTTGGGTCTCATAGCCAAGTTCTGAAGGACAGGAGGGAGGGGACCAATCTGATCTCAACAGGTTTTGGAATTATCCCAGGCTTGCTAGATCTAGATTTGGAAACAAGCTTCAATATTCAGTCCAATTCCGCTGCCCCCCTATTTTTGAATCTCATATTTGCCTGCAGGTTCTTTTAAAATGTGTGTGTCAATGTCCATTGTGTTGGTGGTCTTTTCATCAGTAAAATGTGAGTGGCCTATCACATTGGGTTGTCATGAATGGAGGGAGGATTATAAAACCTCTCTGGGATATTAAAAAGTTTTAGGATAACAGCCTTCCGGGAAGGCGAACATAACTTTTTATTGCTGCTCTGTTTGAAGTCCGTTTGCTTTTAGTTGCAGTGTTTTATAGCTTTCCCAGAGAAGACTCCCTTTTTCTTAAAAGAAGATTGTCTTTATGTACATCATCATAGCAAATGCTTTGGTTCCCTTACTGTGTGTTATGTTCTGCTGTGAAAGGTATTGGGCTGAAAGATCAAGTATTATCTTTTCTTTTCTCTCTCAAGTCAAGGAAAATGTTCCCTAAGACTCCCCTTTTGGTCACTGAACTGCTAAATTGCAACGGCTAAAAAAGCCAATGGGATTTTGGCCTGCAGAAATAGGAGTCTAGTGTCTAGATCCAGGGAAATCATGCTACTCCTCTGTTCTGCCTTGGTCAGACCACACCTGGAATCACACTGTGTCCAATTCTGGGCACCGCAATTGACGGGAGATGTTGACAAGCTGGAATGTGTCAAGAGGAGGGTGACTAAAATGATCAAGGGTCTGGAGAACAAGCCCTATGAGGAGCAGCTTAAAGAGCTGGTCATGTTTAGCCTTCAGGAAAAAAAGTTGAGCAGAGACATGATGGCCATGTATAAATATGTGAGGGGAAGTCATAGGGAGGAGGGAGCAAGCTTTGTTTTCTGCTGCCCTGGAGACTAGGACATGGAACAATGGCTTCCAACTAAAGGAAAGGAGATTCCATCTGAACATGAGGAAGAACGTCCTGACTGGGAGAGCTGTTCAGCAGTGGAACTCTCTGCCTTGGAGTGTGGTGGAGGCTCCTTCTTTGAAGGCTTTTAAACAGAGACTGGATAGCAATCTGTTGGGTGCTTCTTGTTAATGGGACGGCCTGGATGGCCCACAAGGTATCTTCTGTATCATGCAGAACATGAAAGTGTGATGAAATTCAGTTGAACAGAGATAAACTGTCTAATACAGTGGTTCTCAACCAGATGTTTTGGCCGTCAACTTCCAGAAATTCCTAACAGCTGATAAACTGGCTGGGATTTCTGGAAGTTGTAGGCCAAAACACCTGGGGGCCCACAGGTTGAGAACCACTGGTCTAGCACAACCTGAATACCATTCTTCTCTTGGTCACAACTATTTCCTTTATTTATGTCAATGTTTTCTGCCTTCCTCTTTGTCATCAGATCTCAGAGAAGTTTAGAAGTTAAATATATGCAGATTAAAACTGTTTAAAATAGTATAAAAATAATTTCACTGGAAAACATGGAACCCCCGGTGGTGCAGTGGGTTAAACCCCTGTGTTGGCAGGACTGAAGACCGACAGGTCGCAGGTTCGAATCCGGGGAGAGACGGATGAGCTCCCTCTATCAGCTCCAGCTCCTCATGCGTGGACATGAGAGAAGCCTCCCACAAGGATGATAAAAACATCAAAATCATCCAGGCGTCCCCTGGGCAACATCCTTGCAGACGGCCAATTCTCTCACACAAGGAGTCACTCCTGACACGTCAAAAAAAAAAACAAAAAAAAACAAACAACAACAACAACAACTGGAAAACATGATAAATAAGTTGAAAAATAATTAAAACAATTTAATGTAAAATCGTATACATCATTATTTTGGTTCAAATCAGTTAAACCTCCATACAGTAGCAATAGAGAACTGCCTGACAATCAGATTATCAGAAAACAAGTGACAAAGTAAACTCCTCCTTGCTTTTTTAATCCAGATTTTACGACACTGGTTCCACACCTTTTTTGTGCATAGTTTGAGGCATGTTGAGTAGCTGGCTAATCAGGACTGTAATTATCATCATAATTGTAGTTTCCCTCTGCCCGAAACAGCGCTTGTGTCTTTTTGAAATCCCTTTTTGGGGTAACGAGGTAAACTGTTACCCAGCAAGAGCAGGAAATGTGTTCATTTAAAATTACAAAAGTTGGATTCCAAAGCTGGGAATTGATATATCCCTATTTCCCTCTCTTCTTTGTCCAACATCGTACAATGCAGCAAAAACAGTCTGTAACTAGTAAGAATGAATCTCTTGGTTGGTGAGAACAGTAAACACATCAGAGTCAGAAGTCAGGAAGTGTCAGACTGGGACATCCTAGCTTATTGGGGCAAGCTGGTATCTTTCAGCACTTGACCAGAAATGAGTGACCTTGTACGAGGGTTATCCGGAAAGTAAGGTTACAAGATTTTTTAAAAATTCAAACAATGAATATAGTTTAACAAAACTTACATGGATTGTAGCATAAGTATTACATTATTTTTCCACATAATCACCATTTAGTTCAATACATTTTGTCATCCGTGGGACAAGTTTTTGTGATCTGGGTCATAGAAGTTTCCCTCCACCTTTTTCAGCCAGTTTGTCACTTTAATTTTCACCTCCTCGTCGTCAGAAAAGTGTTTCCAACAAGATGTTCCTTCAATTTAGTGAACAGATTATAGTCACTAGGTGTGAAATCGGGGCTGTGAGAGGGGTGGTTTAAAACATCCCAATCAAATAAAGTCAACAACTCTTGTGTTGCATGAGGGGTGTGCGGACGCGCATTGTTATAAAGGAGACAGACTCCTGCCATCAGCATCCCACGACGTTTGTTTTGGATGGCGCTGCGAAGTTTTTCATGGTCTCACAATATATTACGTACCCATTTTGTCACATGCTATCTTGACATTACTTCCTCTCCATAAACTGAAATGATTTTGCGATGAATTGCAGTGGCGTTCATGCCCTTAGCATTTAGGTAGCGTATTACAGTGCAAACTTCGCACTAGGAGGGAAACAGAATGAGGATGCACATTTCTTACCTTCACCACAATGCCACTTGATGAGCTACTGTCGACTGGCACAGCTCGTTTGCTTCCTCTGGCTTCCCGCTACATGGCAGTGATACCAACTTCCCCCGTGAAAATTCCTCATGAGAGCTACGTGCTTTGTAACCTTACTGTCTTGATAATCCTCGTAATGCTAAACTTCTGTCTGAGATCATGTGGCTTTTAAGGCCAACAGTGGACATGAGTTGTACCAAAATAATACATACTATTTCCAAATGTTAGCCTAGGCTCATCCAACCAAAAAACCCTATACATTGTCTCTGCTATTTGTGCCATCAATCCTGTGTTATTGGTACAGTGACTTCTGTTCTCCTAATTTTTAAAATGTACTTTGTGTAATTAATTTTTGAAGAAAGTCTTTGAGCTATTTCTATCTCTTTTCACCTTCTGTTGCAGATGTGGCCCATTATTAAATTAATAGCCATTTTTTATTGCTGAAACCGTTATAAATATATTGGTTTGGGATTAATTTTGGAAGGATAAAGAAAAGGAGAGGAAGCAGCACCAAATCCAGGTGAAATGATGGAGTGCCAGGAGTCTGAGATGGACTTCTCCTCTTCCAATTTCCACTTTTAGTGCTTTTGAATGAGAGACATGTTGGCACTGGTTCCAAGAATGAATGGATGACAACAGATGGAACTGAGCTTTTTTAAAAATCTAGGACTTTAGATCATCCGGGGAGGCCTTCCACTCAGTCCCACTGCCATCACCTTCTCCATGGTGGCCCCTCAGCTGTGGAACTTCCTTCCCAATGAGGTTAGATCTGCCCCCTCCCTCCTGACCTTCTGGAAGAAGCTTAGATCCTGGTAATGGGATCAAGCATTGACAGAATAGTTTGTTTGCTGGGAAAGACAAGATTTATTGGAGTGGACTTGGTCTGCTTTGGATGACGATTTTAATTCTGGCAATTTTAATCTGGCGAGTGGGTTCTTAATGTGTATTTAAAATTATTTTAATTTTGTGGATGTATTTTTTATATGTTTATATTATGTTTGGCATCAAATTGTTGCCTGTTGGGAAGCCATTCTGAGTCCCTCTGCGGAGATCGAGAATGACAAGGTATAAATGTTTTAAATAAAATAAATAAATAAATTTCTGTTGTCGCAGTGAGAGGCAGCTGCTAGTTGTGATCGACAGAGATGGAAACGGATCTGAGACACCTGTCTTTATGGAAGATAGTGTGGGGCTGTGATACTGTATAATTTATTAGCTCCCACTGAGGATTTTTGACTGTGATGTGGTATCAGTTTGCAGAGCTGTCTACGGAGGGGATGGAGGTTCATCGCTTCCTTTTAAGTTTGTCCTCTGAAGCTTGATCTCTTTTTTTCCTCCCTCTCCATTACTTCCCTTGTAGGCAAAAGGAAAAAAGGAACAAAGATGTTTGGCTTCCACAAACCGAAGATGTATCGGAGTTTAGACGGATGCTGCATTTGCAGAGCGAAGTCTTCCAGTTCTCGGTTCACTGACAGCAAGCGTTATGAAAAGGATTTCCAAAGCTGCTTCGGGTAAGAGCTGATGCCATTCCAGTTGCTCTCTGTTTGTTTAGCTCTTTTCTGAAGTTATCATTACATTAAGGAGGCCAACCTCAGGAAAGCTTTCATCTCTACATCGACTCCTGGCAGGTTAGGCCCCACTCCAGATTGGCCTGAGCAGCTGGAAGCAAAACCAGCCTGTTTGTCACTATTTTCAGTGTCTTGGGTGACCTTTTGACATTATGCACCATTCTTCAGTCCAACTTTTGAGTAAAATTAGACAATTTTGGTAGTCCCCTATACATTTTATAAGGTTTTCTTAGGCAAGGAATGCTTAGAGGCGGTTTGCCATTGAAATGTAGCTCACAACACCTAGTATTCCTTGGCAGCCTCCCATCCAAGTGCTAACCAGTCCTGACCTTGTTAATGTCCAAGATCAAATGGGATCTGATGCCTTCAGGATATTTAGACCTGGGGGATCCATAAACTTCCTGTTTATGGAGCCCCCAGTGGCACAGCAGGTTAAACCGCTGAGCTGCTGAATAATAATAATAATAATAATAATAATAATAATAATAATAATAATACTTTATTTATATACTGCTCTATCTCCATGTGGGGGGGGGGGGGGCACTCAGGGCCATTTCCAAGCAACAACATCAAAACATACAGAGTCACAACATGAACAAAAAATAACAGTAACAGCAACATAAGCATGGAATTACCCAACAACAAACACATCAATATTAAAAGAAAAAAATCCTGCCTGCTCTTCATGTCTATTTCTTAGAGCATGGGAAAGGAATGGGTCAGGACAATTAAAAAGGCTGGATCGAGACTGATACAAATTGAAATAAGATGGGACCAGCATTTGGGTAGAGTACTGTAATAGGTAAACGACAAAAGCGGGGACGGGCTATTTCCAGGGGCCTGTTAGGAGAATGAATAGGGTAATATATAGGGGGCTAGTTTGTGTCTGGACAGTTTCTGGGCTGAGCTAGCACTGGTCACTCTCGAATATTTGTTGAAACCACCAAGTCTTCTACAAAAAGTGGGGAGGGATGGGGCCTGTCTTATTTGCCATGGAAGGACGTTCCAGAGGCAGTGGGGCACCACTGAGAAGGCCCTCTCTCCCATCCCCACCAACCGTGCTTGTGACGGAGGTGGGAGCAAGAGGAGGGCTTCCCCGGAGGAGCTTAGAGTTGCTGACCAAAAGGTCGGCGGTTTGAATCCGGGGAGTGGGCTGAGCTCCCGCTTCTGCCAACCTAGCAGTTTGAAAACATGTAAATGTGAGTAGATCAATAGGTACTGCTTTGGCGGGAAGGTAATGGCACTCCATGCAGCCCATGCTGGCCACATGACCTTGGAGGCATCTATGGGCAACACTGGCTCTTCAGCTTACAAATGGAGATGAGTACCATCCCCCAGAGTCGGACATGACTAGACTTAATGTCAAGGACAAACCTTTACCTTGACTTCCTGTTTATAAATGAATTAAGTGGGGATAGGATGATGTGCACCTTTGTTACTCCTCCATACATTTACCTATCTGCTATAATCGCAAGTAGGTGTTGGCACCTTATGCATTCAGCAAAATGAAATCATGACAACATTTCATTTTGGACTAGTGCTCCCAAAATCTCCCTGCGAAATTCACTCCTGATCTTTCTGGTTCTCAATATGCATGCACAAAATCTCCAGAGACAGTCAGGAAGGCAAGGACCGTGGATGCGATACCCTTCCAAGTGTTTAAAGTGTACGTTTAAACAGGGAAACCAAAGCTACAAACTGTCTTCAGTTGGGTGCTCTTCAGCCTCCTTCCACCTCATACCTGTCTCAGAACTATTCTGTTTGGAGGAGTTCTCAACAGAACCGAGTTTCCACAGGTCAATCACCAAATATTTTAGGTAGGACATGTTGGGTCTTCAAAATATGACAAAGTCAATTGTCCTCCTTTGTGATGTTTTCTTTATTATGTAGCTTGTTTCTCATGTAGTTAAGTTGCTGAACTATAATCTTTCCTTCACAGTTTGCATGAGGTCCGCTCAGGAGATATCTGCAATGCGTGTGTGCTTCTGGTGAAAAGATGGAAAAAGCTCCCAGCCGGATCAAAAAAGAATTGGAATCATGTGAGTTCATACTGTGGGGTTTCTTATGGGAGAATGTTAACTTTTTAACAACCCAGACTTGAACCATATTTTAATTCTGAAATGTCATGCGGTTTACTTAATCTCAGACTCCAGATTTTCTTGACACTCAAACTGTTACTGTTATTCCGCTTTCGGCAGGGAGACTCCAAATCACCTTCACCCAGCTCTTTACAATTTTGTGGTGGGGGTGGAATAGTATGTTCCAGAATCCAGTAACCATGTTGTTTTGGGGATTCTAAATATAGGTGTCTTTTCTGAGCTCTGCTTTAACTTAATGAGAAGCTGCATAGTGTTGGCCTATGATTCCATACGGGAATTAATGGGATGAACTTTTATCTTGCCGTCTTTTCCAGGTGGTGGATGCGAGGGCTGGGCCAAGTCTTAAAACCACACTGAAGCCCAAGAAGATGAAAAGTCTTCCTGGCAACAGGATGAAAAGCAATCAGATAAGCAAGCTGCAAAAAGAGCTGAAGCGACATAGTATGTTGATCCTATGTACTTTCCATTTAATTATTGTTTTGCTTGTTCCGGTGGAGACAGCTCCATCTAAATCTGAATGTGGGTACTATAAACCACTGTTGGGGATTTTCTGGGGTAGGGGGTGTATGCTGGGTTATCATTTGAGGATTCCTTTCCTCTGTGGTGCTTTCCAAAGCCTTCCATCTGTGAAACTCGAATTGATTTGAAGCAGGGAGGGGAGAGCAGCACTGAGAGTTGGGGGTACTTTCTACTCCCCAAATACTATGAGCCAAGCCCCACCCCACAAAGTCCTAGGTTTTGAGAGAATAGGGTTTTGGGGTGAAATAGTGGCCAAAACCTTGTGATGCACAATGACAGTGTAAATACCTTGGGAAGTCAGACTTGGCCATGGTAGTCAACACTCCAGTTACATCCAGAATAGATTATGCCAACACCCTCTATGTGCGGTTGCCTTTGAAGACCGTTCAGAAGCTCCAAATGGTCCAACGGGCAGCAGCCAGATTGCTCACCAGAGTGACGTACATAGAGCATACAATCCCCGTTATGTCAGCTCCACTGGCTCCCAGTCTGCTACCAAGCACAATTCAAAGTGCTGGCTTTAGCTTATAAAGCCTTAAACCATTCCAGCTCAGCTTACCTGTCTAAACAAATCTCTCCCTATGTACCATCTCAGAGCTTAAAATCGTCAGGGGGGGGGGGGGGCTCGGTCCTGCCTCCTTCGCAAGTGCAACTGATGAGGACGAGAGACAGCGCCTTCTTAGTGGTAGCCCCTCAGCTGTGGAATACCCTCCCTAGGGATATTAGATCAGCCCCCTTCCTCTTGACCTTCCATAAGAAAGTTAAAACGTGGCTTTTTGATCAAGCCTTTGGAGATCTTGTGAAATAGATCAGTATGGATTTATGTGCAATGACTATTGGAATGGCCCGGACTATGACTTTGGATAACGTGGTTAACACTGAATGCATTGTTTTCTATGTTTAAATGTTTCAAGTTATTTTATAACTCTATTTAATTGTTTATTTTAACTGTACATTGCTTTTGAAGGCATTGAATAGTTGCCTAAGTGTCCGCCGCCTGGACAAAGGCAGGGTAGAAATGTTGTAAACAAACAAACAAATACACTCATGTATTCACAGAAGGGAAAATACTTGGTTTTTCCCCAGCTGAGAGAGAAAGAAGTATTGTAAAATCAGGCTGTCCCAAACTGGCCGAGTTTGTCTGCCTTCCCTCCGCATGATTGCATGGCTCTGGAACAAGTGTCACTCCTTGTGTAGTCTTCCAACAGGATTCTGTGATCCTTTCAAGTGGAATTATATATATATTTAGAAATCATATAGGTTCCCTGAAGACCGAAAAACACAGAAATGGAGAGCATATAAGGCCTCATGATTCCTAACCCTGGTTTAAAATGTGCATGTGCGTGTGTGAAGGAGAGACCTACCATGGTGTGATTCCATACATCTTTCTATTTCAGACTCTGATGCCCACAGCACGACTTCAAGCGCCTCTCCAGCCCAGTCACCCTGCTATAGCAACCAATCGGATGATGGTTCAGACACTGAGATGAGCCCTGGTTCTGGCCGCACACCTGTTTTCTCTTTCTTAGATCTTACATATTGGAAAAGGTGAATGAAAAAGCCCTAGAACTTTTTAAAAAAAAAAGTCCTCTGCACATACTAGTAATTTGTGTTATTTTTGAAGTTCTAGTAAGGACTATTGCTCTGTATAACAGAACACTTCCAACTTTAAAAATACATTTAGAGGAAGATTGGGCTCTGAAGGGAACTTACAATCTTAGATTTAGCCAAAGGAGAAGGTAGGCAGAGAAGCAGGAAGTCATGGGCAGAGAGGGAGAGGTTAAAAGGCATATAATTGCAATAAAAGATAATCTTAATTACAAGGCTGCCTTGCTTCCGATGCCTCAGCCATTAGAGAGCACTTGCAGACAGCTGATGAGTCAACGTGGTGTTTAAGGAAGTAGAGAAAGTAACTGGATAGCATGCAGGGCATGAATTGGGTCACTAGCCATCTTGTTGTCTTGAAAGCAAATCCATAGCCTTGGGCTTCTTCCCCTCCCCCCTTTAACCCCAGCTTGCAGAGAAATGATGGATGTTGTGACAGTAGCCAGCAGTTGTATTGATCTGTAAGTATCCCTCTTACTTTACGATTAGCTGGTTGCCACAGGGTTGGTCTCAGCTGAAATGCTTGCATAGCCTAGCAAGGATGTGTGCTTTGTAATGTGAGTTGTGATCAGGAAATTAATTCATGGACTTGGCTTTCACAAGATGCAATGGTGGTCATTCCATTAAATGGCTTTAAAAGAGGATTTGAGCATATTTGCCTTGGCATCTATTGTACTTAGGGCAGGATGAATACAAAGTGTTGTATCGTTCAGACCCTAAATTCAAGGCGCTCTCTAGATCCAGGTTAAGACATGGCTGTAGCCTTCTGGGTAATGTAACTTCAGCTGTGAACAGGTGTTCTGCCTATTTGGACTCATAGTTGACCATATCCTAATTTCATTTGGGTTGAATTATCACAGTAATCTCTATTGAGCTAACTATAAGGACTCAGAAATTGCAACAAAATACAACCACCAGAATCCCTGAGTGGTGCTCAACAGTCAGAACATATTATGGCCAATTGAATCTCAATTACTTCTGCCTCTGTTTCTGTATTTGAAAAGACAGTATTGATTTAAAAGCTCTCAACAGTTTAGATTTAGGTTCATTGGTACCACTTTCCCTCTACAATCTGTAGCCATTTGCAAATACACTTGGTGGGCACAAATACACTTGTAGAGCCCTAAGGATAGTTAGTGCATCTCACTGCCAGTTTGAGACCCATCTAAATTATAAAAACAATAAATGCAGGCATTTTCTATCAACACCAATCAAGAGCATTAAAGAAGAACAATGGTTTTAAACTTTGAATAAGTTTTGATGGTTTTTAAGTGAAATTTTAATTCTGTTTGTGTTTAATTCTGTTTTAATGTTTGTTTTAAATTGGATACCAGTGCTTTTATGTCAAGCTGTTTTGAGTCCCCTTTGGGGATACAAAGCGGTGTATAAATAAATAAATATAATAATAATAATAACAATAATAACAAGTTTTATTTGGCCTAAGCTTTCATGGACTATCATCCACTTCATTAAATATTTTAAAAATACAATTTTGGCTACGATAGATAGTGTAATGCAGGCATTGACAAACTAAGGCCCACGGGCCGGACACGCCCCTCTGGGCCTTTATGTCAGGCCCTCAAAATTTCCACTGTTTTCTGAGTATAAGGACAGAGAGGGAGGCATGCAGCAGCTGGAAGCCCTCTAGAGTGCTCTCAGTCACCACGTGCTTTCCTTGGGCCCTCCTCCCAGCATAAGGACAGGGTGAGCGGTCCTATCCTAATGCCAGGAGAAGCCTAACCCGGGCAAAGAGCCAAGCATTGGGTGAAGATGCGGGCAAAGGGGCTCCAAAGCTGCCTCGCCTGCCGCTTGCCTCTTCCTTCTCATGGCGTCAGGACAAGGCGAGGCCCCATCCTGATGCTGACAGAAGGGAGAGGCAGTGGGGCTGAGAGACCTCCAAAGCCTCACTTTCCTCCCAGCATAAATATGGGCAGTCCCATTCTTATGCTGGGAGGAAAGCCTGAGAGTGATTCACCCCGGCCCCACCCTTATCCCATCCCTTCCTGGGTTTGCCTTGGCCCCACGCTGCCCCTTCCAGGCCCACCCCAGTCCCTTCCCCTCCTGGGCTCACCCTGCCCTCCCTCCTGGCTGGGCACTCCCTCTTGGCCCCAGGGCAAAAAAGTTTGCCCAGGCCCACCCCACCCCCAGTCCTGCCTCCTCCATGGCCCGCCCCCCACCCAGCCCCGTTACTTCCTGGGCCACCCTGCTATCCCTCCTGGCTGGGTCCTTCCTTCTGTCCCGGTCCGCAATGTGGCCCCAGGGCAAAAAAGTTTGCCCATACCTGGTGTAACGCCTTTGTGATGTCTTATTTTGCTGCTGTGGTTTTATTATTCTTACTCATTTATAGTTTCTGTGATTATTAATATTTTGTACACTACAGCAATAAGCTGTAGGTCAAAAGTGAGACGAATGTGAAATAATTTGCATTTTCTTTTTCTTCAAGACAAAAAGTTTGCTGTGGAATTATTTACAAAGGCCGCTTTGGAGAAGTCCTTATAGACACTCACCTCTTCAAGCCGTGCTGCAGCAACAAGAAGTCTCCAGTCGAGAAGCCTGAGGCTCAAGGGTCCCAGTCTCTGACCATCTCCAACCAGGAAGAGTGGTGACTTCCACGGCTCATTGCAAACGCTGTAAATGGAACCTCTTTCTCTCTTGAAAGGCTTGAAACTGACCGACTCCTCACTCTGGAGGCCTGCTATGCTGCCAAAAGACTAGTTTCTTCCTTGGAACTGTTTTGAGGGTTTGTTTGTTTTTTACTATGTCTGTTCCACTAATTCAGAATCCTATTCATATCTCTTCAGAAAAGATTGTAAATAATATTTAAGATACTCTAAAATAGATAGTTGAGCTGAATGCTGCTGCACGTTATTACTGTTCAACATTTTTCCCTGCACAACTTCTTGCCTGAGTGACAATGAGGTTGGTAACATAGGTATGTAGAGTTTATTACTATTAGAGATGCAGTGCTCACATTTGACATGCTGAAATGTTAGCCAGTCGTTTTTCTCTCTCTGTGTGAGAAAAATATTGCTTAATGCTCTAAGGCATGAAGTTTTGGGTACTCAGTTTTGTACAAGGCTTCCCTGCAATGTGTATGTTGTGAAAATGGGGAGAGCTTACTTACTACTGATACTTCAGCAGTGATGTTTCACCTCAGCTATGTGTAACATATTGAAAAGAACAAACTGACAAAACTTGGCTGCGGGATTCTGGGAGCTATCCTAAATTAACTTTTCCAGATTCAGAAATGGTGTATATAGGAAAGGCGAGAGGAATGGGATCAGATTAAGGCAAAGTTAGTAAGGCTGTTGTAAGGCTGGACGAGCCAAGGGTGGAGTGGAGGAACCCCTGACTAAATAATCTTTTTTGTGCAGTGTGTATTCCACTTACAGTTTGTGGTTGAAGGCTAGAGATTAATCTTCAAGGGAGACATGATATTTTTAAAATCACCATCACAAGTGTAATCTTAGTCTTCTTTATGTCTGTAATAGGATGTGGCAAATGCACACAGTGCCAAATCCTAGTTTCAGTACCAAATCATGGTTTGGGATCAGTTCAGCCTGCATTCTGGCACACATATATAATGTATAAGCCTTATTTTGGAGATAGACATGATATGTTGTCACCTCTCCCTATAATTCTGTTGAATTGATAAAAAGAGAGTAAACATTATCTACTATGAGATGCAATGAATGAATTATATCCCAGGGTAGATGCTAGGCATGTGCAATCCATGGTTTTAAATGGTTCTAAAGTACTTACAAAACTAAAGTTCTGGTGGTGAAAACTAGGGGGCGCTGGTGCTTTGCTTCTACAGTGTTGCTAAAGTTCTGGTGGAGAAAATTTCAGAACTCTAACAAAACTTTCAAAATTTCATTATTGGTGATTTTTATGACAGAACCTATTAGGAAGTGCCATTTATAATGAAATTTTGAAAGTTGTGTTAGAGTTCTGAAATTTTCACCACCAGAACTTTAGCAACATGGTAGAAGCAAAGCACCAGCGCCCCCTAGTTTTCACCACCAGAACTTTAGTTTTGTAAGTACTTTAGAACCATTTAAAATCATGGATTGCACATGCCTAGTAGATACAGCACTCTGTTCATTATTGGCAAGGTCAGAGAAGGTTCATGTGGTCTCTTTTGTAACCTCATCCCAGCAGTTGAATAGAAGTAACATGGTAATAAGAATTTACTTTTGACAGGAAGCCATGCCAATTTAAAAAAACTCAGGTTCAAGACTTCTTTCCTTTCCTTTGGATTCTGTGTCTCCTTCGCATCATTAATGTGACTGCACAGGCAAGGAAAGGAAATCTGCAATAACTCCCCTGTACTTTTCCTTATCCTTGTTGAAAACGTCTGGGCTCACTCTAGGTTGCCCTAGGCATGCACTGCATTTCTTGACAAAAGTGAGGGTTTCTGTTTCAAATACATACAGCAAAGGTTCTACATCAGTGGTTTTCAACCTGTGGGTCCCCAGGTGTTTTGGCCTACAACTCCCAGAAATCCCAGCCAGTTTACCAGCTGTTAGGATTTCTGGGAGTTGAATACCTAAACATCTGGGGACACACAGGTTGAAAACCACTGTTCTACATGTCAATGAAAGTCCATACACCCTGTTCTGCATCTTCCTGCCATCCATGGACTGTCAAACTCTGGGATTAGCCCCATGTCTCTTAACTGGTGGGGAAGAGAGTTATTTTAGCCATAGAAAAAAGTACCTGGTCTCATCTTGTTGCAGGGAGAGAAATTAGGGTCTCGTGGAGTGCACAGATTTTCTTTCCCCTAGAAGCCAGGGGAAAGAAAGCCAGCAGCAGGATCTTCATTGTGCTAACAGCCTTCCCTGCCTCATTACTGATGGAAAAAGGAGCACAGCAGCCTCTCCTATGGTTTAATAGCTGCAAGGCAGGGAGAGGCTTTTGTATGGGGCACAAGGGTAACAGAAATTGTGTTCTGTGGCTCATCCAGAACAGGACTTCCTCACTCGTAAGTCCCTAAAGGATATCAGCCTATATAATTTATGCACACATAACTTTCCCTCCTTTTTGCAAGAGTGGTAGCAGCATTCCTTGATGTGGAAGGCCCTCCAGATTTGTTGAACTACAACTCCCACTATCCCCAGCCAGTGGCTACACATGATAAGACTTGTAGCACGACACGTTTGGAGGAACCCTGGGGTTGGGAAGTGGGCTAGAGCATTGCTTCTTTTTAAGATTGTCTCAAAACTGGTCTGATTTGTCAAATTTATATTTACATATTTTGTACCAACCACCCCAGCATGTGGTAAATGTCCTTCATTTCCACTAATTCTTGGTCCTGGATGCTGCATTTCCCAAAGCTCTTCCTGCTACAATGTCTTTCCTCTCCATTTCCCGGAAGTGCCTTTAGGTTTTGCTCTTCTTTCTCACAATCCTATCTTCCAATTTTTGGAGCGGCCTGGTTAAATCTCCTCAAAGCATATTTGTCTTTACATTTGTCCTTTTCAGTAGTCTCCTTGTTCTACTTTCAATGTCCATTACTTTCACGGATGTCTTAGGGGGAAAATTTACCTATTTTCCCTACTGACAACAAATATGACTACACTGTAGAATTAATGGTGTTTGACACACTTTTGCTGCCATGACTGAGTGCTGTGTTATTTTTCTAGGTACTCAACCTTCTCTGCTTAAAGAGAGTTGGTGTGTTACCAAACTACAAATCCCATGATTCGATAGCATTGAGCCATGGCAGTTAAAGTGATATAAAACTCCTTCAATTCTACAGTGCAGGACCAGCAAATGGCAATAGTAGGATGAGGTAATCCAGGAGGATTTTTAACAGTAGGAATGGTTGTATGATCTAGTGCAGTGTTCTCAACCTGTGAGTCCCCAGATGTTTTGGCCTACAACTCCCAGAAATCCCAGCCAATTTACCAGCTGTTAGGATTTCTGGGAGTTGAAGGCCAAAACATCTGGGGATCCACAGGTTGAGAATCACTGATCTAGTGACTGAAGTAAAATTTAAGTAACGCAGTAGGTGCTTAACCTGTGGGTCCCCAGGTGTTTTGCCCTTCAACTTCCAGAAATCCTAACAGCTGATACACTGGCTGGGATTTCTGGAAGTTGTAGGTCAAAACACCTGAGGACCCACAGGTTGAGAACCACTAAAATAACCTTAAGCAAGCATAAAGACTAGAATCTTATTTTTGTTCTCATTTTGAAGGCCCAGTTGGTCCAAGAAAGTTTTTGTTAGATATGATGAATACGTGTCCTTGCTTTTTGGGGTCAAGAGAGTGGCTATGGCTTTGGTTCGTCATACTTTTCATCACTTTATTTGAGTACCATGAGCATTTCTACTTTTATGCAATGCACTACTACAAATAGGCCTATGCGTTTGAGGTTTTTTTCACATTTTCATTAAACTATGAAATTTGAGTTGATATGATATGTCAGAAAAAAATAAATCTGAAATAATATTTTCCTATATTTTTTTAGATTACCTTAGTACTCTTTTCCCATTGATTCCTATCCTGCGTTCATTGTAAATAGGGAGAAATATTCTAAAGGGAGGATAAAATCAATCAATTCCTAACTGACTAGCTACTTGGCAGCTATGCTGGGTTGGCAATCTCTGGAGGGTACATGCAGTACATTTGTTGACTTTTTACTGGATTTATGCATTTTTTTAAAATGGGTTAATGGTTCTGGGCATTTAACTATTACAATATGAAACCGTGTGCTATAATTTGGATCATCTCTTCCACTTCTGTATTTATTTATTTATTACTACAACAGCAGACTGTCTTGCCCTTTGCCTTCCTCTTCCATCCTGTGTAGTAATACAAGATGAACTGTATGTAGTTATGCACTTTGTATTAATGTAGTAGAAATCTATGGAACCTCTTGTTTTTATACTTTTTTAACACTGTTCATACACTTGTAATCCAAGCCTTTTTAAAAAACTAGGGTAATGAATAAATTTTTAGTCTTATTTAGAAAAATATAAACACTTGCCTTTCTTTTATTGACATGTGTTTCTTTTTTGGTTTTCTTGATTTGACAGTTGACTGGATCCCAGCTACAATGACTTGAATATAAATAGTTAGAACACAAGTGATGGGCAGATGTAGGGCTAATGCTTTGATCCAAAAAAGGTATGGTAACCTCCTTGAGAAAAGGGTGAAGTAAAGAAAAAAATGACTGGTAATTAAAAGAATTAGACTACAATTTTATGCTGATTGTAAGTTTATTTATTTATTTATTTATTTATTTATTTACTACTCTTGTATACCGCCGTTTCTCAGCCTACAATGGCGACTCAACGCGGTTTACATCACTAAAACAGCAACAATATACAATTTAAAAGCATAAAAAACATAAAAAACATATACCATAAACAGTATTGGGCCACCAATACAATCGAAGCATCTCTTAACTAAAAACGTAATCCAATCTCATCGTCCGTGATTGCCGATCCTTGGTCATTAACTTCGTTGCATTATTTTAACCAATTAAGTGAACAAATATATTCTCCAAAAGGCATGATCCACAAACACCAATCTTGTAAACACCAATTCCATGCATTGGCAATTTTGGACAGTTTAACATGTTTTTATGTGTTCTTTTTTTTGCTAACATACATGATCCTCTCAATTAGAGATCATGTAGCAATCTGATTTGGAGATGTGATGATAACATGAACCCAAAGGATGCCCACTAATGGTTCTTCTTCATCCTGGAAAGAAGTGACTAGTGGGGTGCCATAAAAAGGGTTATGTCCTGCGCCCAGTGCTGTTCAGCATATTTATTAATTATTTGGATGAATGTTTAGAGAGAGTGCTTATCATTTTAGCAGATGACACCCAAATTAGGAGGGATAGCTAAAACTCCAGAAGATAGGATCAGAATTCAAAACCATCTTAAAAGATTAGAGAGCTGGGCCAAAACTAGCAAAACGGATTTCAACAAGGAGAAATGTACAATAGTCTACCTAGGTAGAAAAAATGAAATGCACATATACAGAATAGGTGATGCCTGGCCCGACAACAGTCCATGTGAAAAAGATTTTGGAGTCTTTGTGGACAACAAGTTGAACATGAGCCAACAGTGTGATGCAGCAGCTAAAAAAGCCAATGGGATTTGGGCTGCATCAAAAGAAGTATAGTGTCTAGATTGAGGGAAGTCATGGTGGTTTTGTATTCTGATTTAGTCAGACCTCACCTGGAATACTGTTTCTAGTTCTGGGCATCACAATTCAAAAAACACATTGACAAACTGGAAAGTGTCCAGGGGAGGGTGGCTAAAATGATCAAAGGTCTGGAGACCATGCCTTTTGATGAGCATCTTAAAGAGCTGTGGATATTTAATCTACAGAAGAGAAGGTTGAGAGGAGACATGATAGCCATGTTTAAATATGTGAAAGGATGCCATAAGAAGAGGGAGCAGGCTTGTTTTATGTTGCGCTGGAGAATAGAACTTGTAACAATGGGCTCAAATTACAGGAAATGAGATTCCACAGAACATTAGGAAGAACTTCCTGTGACAGATAGTTCAACTGTGGAACTATCTGTCTCGGAGTGTGGTGGAAGCTTCTTCTTTAGAGGCTTTTAAAGAGGCTGGATAGCCATCTGTCAGGGGTACTTTGTGCTTTTCCTGCATGGCAAGGGGTTGGACTAGATGACCCATGTGGAATTCTATGATTCAAAGTACATGTGGGGACAATAGTTTTGGCTCTAACCTGGAATGTAATGACATTTTGCCCAGCGAGTTTCTATGCCTGTAAGATAAAGGTAAAGGTTTTCCCCTGACATTGAGTCCAGTTGTGTCTGACTCTGGGGGGTGGGGGTAGTGCTCATCTCCTTCTAAGCCGAAGAGCCGGCATTGTCTGTAGGCACCTCCAAGGTCTTGTGGCCAGCATGACTGCATGGAGTGCCATTACTT